AACCCATTCCAGAGACAGTGACAAGAGCAAGAGGAAAATTTTTGAAGCACTTGGACAAAACAATCCCCACTTCCCTAGCAGACGAACTAGATGCTCCGATCACAAATGAAGAAATTAAAAAGGCATTGGACTCAATGAAATCCGGGAAGACTCCTGGGATGGATGGACTGTCGAAAGAATTCTGGCAAAAATACTGAGACCTGCTAGGAGACGAATACTGCAAGTTTATAAGATCAGCATGGGAATCTGATGGTTTAGGGAAATTTATAAGCACTGGAATAGTTACCCTACTATACAAGAAAGGGGATCCCTCTGACATAAAGAATTATCGACCCATCACACTACTAACGGTAGCCTACAAGATCCTAGCCAAACTTCTAGCTAATAGAATAAGCAAAATTACAAAAAACTGCTTCCACATAGATCAAACAGGCTTCATCCCGGGCAGATTTATATTAGATAACGTAATGACACTAGCATAATCAGTAAGATATATTAAAGATAAGAAGTTGAATGCAGCAATCCTCTTCTTTGACTTTGAGAAAGCCTATGACCAAGTAAATTGGGATTTTCTCCAGCAATGTATGGGAAAGACGGGAGTAGGGCCAAGCTTCAGAAAATGGGTACGCATTCTCTACAATAATGCACACGGGGCAGTGCAAGTGACCGGACACATATCGGAACACTACAAGATGTCTAGATCTGTAAGGCAAGGAGACCCGCTAGCAGCCCCGATATTCCTATTCATCATGGAGGCAATAGCTTCCTTCCTCAGGAAGGACCCATCCATACAAAGGCTCATAAACCCGGTGGAAGACCCCAATAGTACACACCACATACCCCCTACAATAATGTTTGCAGACGATTTGACCGTACTCATAAGAGCCTCCAACTCATCCTTTGAAGCCCTCACCAGAACAATGAACGCATACCAACTGGCTTCTGAAATGCGAATTAACTGGCAAAAAACAATGGGATGGTGGCTAACCGATGGAAGCATACAGAATACCCCCGACGGTATGACTTGGTCTAACCCTAAGGACCCATTGAGAGTCCTAGGAATCCAAATGACAGAACACGGAGCAGAGACGGAAATGTCACCTAGCCTCTTAGCCAAGATGACAAGCAAACTAAATGCCTGGGGCAAAATGCACACCTCATTATATGGCAGAGCATTAATATTAAACTCATCCATTTTCGCAATGATGTGGTATGTAGCTGCCTTCTGGACTCCTGATCATCTCACGATAAAGAACTTAAAAAGGAAAGCCACAGCCTACCTGTGGACGGGAGATGCATCCAGGCAACATTTCATAACAAAAGTTGCTTGGCAGTATGTCATTAGGAAAAAAAGTGAGGGAGGGCTGGGCRTCCTGGACCCCACAACCCAAATAAAAGCGCTACAGACCAAATGGATATTGAAGCTCATCACTAGACCCGGCCTACCATGGACAGCACTAGCCCTAGAAGGAYTGYACAAATTACCAGTATATAACACCCCAAGCAACATGAACGRCTCCTTCTGGGTAATGAGCAAATCATGRTCAATGAAGKGAGGAAACCAGCTRGCAACAGACCCAAGACTAGGGTTCTGGAAAGGAATCCTGCGCGATTGGAGAGAAATTTTCCCAGCCAAGGTCAGAGAGCCAAACAATAAGGAGGAAGTTCTAAGACAACCACTATTCTGTAACCAATGGATAACAGGGGCAGACGGAAGCYCATTCACGCTGACAACAAAGGACACAAAATGGGGAGGGTGGCTAGAAAAAGGAATATGGCAGATTAAACATATCTGGGACGACAACAAGAAAGAGTGGAAACAAGACAAACAACTCAGACAAAACCTCAAAGGCTGTCACAGACTAAACCAGAACTTACAAGAAATCTTAGCAGCTATACCAAATAAATGGCTCATAATACTAAAAAAGGACAAACAATGGACCGTAGGGGACTGGGCAGTAATTCGAAATGGGGCCCAATATGGATACGCACTAGCATCACCAACATATTTACGCACTAGCATCACAAACACAACTGGCACATATTTACCATGCACGAAATAGAAGAGCCAGGAGCCGATTACAGCAAGATCAATAAAACTTCAACAGCACAAGTCTCTGTCCAYGAGGATAACCTTAGAAAGATAAGAGTGATAGAAAATGAAGACTTAACTATTTTCCTCCCTCAAACCCCCTTAGAGGATCTAGAACTAGACCCCGCTGAATGGGCATGGAATCTAAAGCAAAGAACTTCAGGAATTGTTACCAAAATTAATCTTCTRCAATACACAACCAKGCTAGGCTACAGGCTAAGACGCCGCTCTACAAACCCAGATCCAATAATAGCACAACGCTGGAAAAGGCATCTGGAAGTAGATCAGGAAACATTCCAGTCAATACCTTGGGATAGAATAGCATCCACCCACCCGCCCAAATTTAGAAGCCTACAATGGCTAATTCTATACCTAGCTGTTCCGCTAAACCAATGGCTAAACGTGAGAAGAAAAAAAGAAGACAGAAGCCCACTAAAAGAACTGTGCGCTAACTGCAACAATGGTCAAATAGAAAACTTATATCACTGTTTTATCCTATGTCCTAGAATAGAAACCACTATGGCAAAAAATAGCAAATATATGGAAAACACTAACAGACACAACTTTCATAAGCAACTACACACTGATACTGCTAGGATTCAATAACCCGGAGCACTGGACCCAACTAGAAACCAACCTCTTCAGAATACTTAGAAAAGCCACACTTTGGACAATTTGGAGGAAAAGATGTCAAGAAACTATAGAGAAACAAAAAATGCACACCCAAGAAGCTTGGGGTCTAATCCAACAACAAGTAGAAACAGAATATTGGGTTCTATGCCGCAAAACAAGGGAAAGGATGAAAGCGAATGAGGACAAAGCAAAGCATCTCCAACACAATTTCGAAAAAAAACTTCCTAGCAGAAGGTAAAATAGCGCTGATCAGGGGTTCTAACATCATCTTCCGATTATGGGAGGAATCACGGCCTAACCAACACTCTCAGGCACTCTCCAGCAATAGTATCCCTGCATCCCTAGAAATCAACATGTACTCAGAATAGAACACTAGAGGACCTTAAAAAAGGGGGTTAAAGTCTCAGGACCGCAAGACATCAGCAACTGTCCCAAGACTGCGCTAGCATAACACACAGATCTGACAGCATTACAGCTGAGAGGAACAGGACTGAGGACAGGGAAATTAGCAGGGTCCAGCCAGAATAAGTCTCAAAGGCTAACTTAAGCAGGGGTGAGAGGGGGTACATCCTTCCAAAAGGAAGCAATCAATGCCGCCCACTTGGACCTTCCAGCCATAATGGGGAGGAGCGTGTGTGAGTTCCCATGTATTTCATATTGACTTGCCGGGGGAATAGGAACCGGACTGTCGCTCCCCAGAATGGTAGGAGCCAGAACCAAGAGGTTCTGTGTT